GTTTCTACCACACGGGTCTAGGCAGAACTGACGATTCCACAACTCATCATTCTTCCCTGGTACCACCTTTTGGGGTTGTAATGTAATTTATATGTTTATGTGAAAGTGTTTGATTTTTCTCTCTGTCCCTGAAGCTCTGCAGAGTCTGGTGCAAAGAAAGTGTTGGCATAAAGTTTAATGGATGAATATGAGAATAAGTTTTGAAATAGAGAACAATGGAGCCAGAGGCCCTTTGTATTTTCCTGTGACAATGTTCTGTGGTGGTTAGGGACGTTTTATAAGGCCATTTGACCCCGACGGGAAACTCATCTCCAGTAAATTAAACCTCCGCAGCTGCAGTATGTCACCTTTCCTTACAGTTTATTACAATCTACTTTTTGTCAGAAGAAACTGAGCACAGCCAGTCAGAGACTGTTGGTACACCTGTCACAGGCCACAGAGCCTCCATTAACCTTATGTATAAATTACACTTCCTGCCCGTTCTTTATTTTTAGCTTGGCAATATCTATTTGGCACCTCCAGAGAAGACTGAATTAGGTTTCAGACATGAAACTACCGGGCAGCAGCATGTCCAGCCCGGCTGGGATGACAGTTATTAACCCTATGACGCTGTCTCTTGGGAGGCTCCTCAGCCCCAAGACTCAATTTTCCTGAGAAACATCATGGCCTGGGCTATCCAGAGCTCCCAGACCCTGGCCCGAGGCCACCTGTGCATTTGTAGGAAAATCTGCTCCTTGGATCTGACCTCCTGAGACTTGCATAGGCGGCCTGTTTCCCTCAATCATCCCCTTTAGGGCGAAACTCAGTTGTTATCACCAGGGTTTGGTTTCACCCCCTCCCTCCTTCTCAGTTACGCAGCACAGTATCACGACCCAAATCTTTAGTGCCTGAACTGTATAGCCCAGTGCCCTGAAACCCATAGGGCAGGGGCTGGCTGTGGCAGCAGGGAGGCCAGCCAGTGGGCATCGGGTCCCAGGGAAGTCTTAACCACTTGGGGCTGTCGCACCGGAAGTGAGTTACTTGGAGACAGCCATTTTTTTTTGTCAGCCATTTTTAACTGTCTCTTGTTTGTTTTAGAATCCTCTGCAGTTCTGTACAGCAGCCAAACAAGCTCGGTAAATGTTAGTTTTAAATTTAAACAGATGTTAGGGGGTGCCATTTAACCTCTTCACTTCAAACAGAGAAGCTCTCAGGATGAGGCCTCAGGAGGTATTTTTTTGTAAGTGAAACAACTCATTAGTTAAGTAATATGTGAATTTTTCATTGTGAAAATTATAAAAACAAAATTAAGATAATCTATAATCCTATTACCCGGAGACAACTACCACTGATATTTTCCTGTTTTCTCAGTCCTGAGCCTCATGAAGGAGTGCCCTATTTCCTTCCAGATTTCTCTGAGGATTAGGAAATAGGGGGACAGGGTAGTTTATTTTCTTTCTAACCTTGGAGCTTCAGATATTATTGGGCATATAAATATGCACATGCTATAAAAACACACACATATTATACATATGATTGATGTATATCATTGGAATATACATTAACATGTGTATACATACACACATTTGTCCTGTCTCAGTGAATGGTTACCATAATAATGCTATATAACAAACTCCCTTAAGTTCATTGGCTTAAACTGAAAGTCATTTGTTCTTGCTGACACTTCTTTGAGCAGGCTGGGTGTTTGCTGATCCATGCTGGGCTCTGCCAAGTGGCTGACTTATGGTCAGTCCTGCCTGCACTTGCCTGAGCTCAGGTCTGCTCCATGTGTGTTCTTTTTGAGGCCTGGGCTAAAGAGGGAGCAGTGGCCCAGAGAAGGTCTTTTCTTGGTGCTAGTAAAAAGTACAAGGGGTCAAACTTGGAAAGCCCAGCCAAGCCTCGGTGTCATGTCTGCTATCATCTCATTGGCTACAGCAGGCCACGTGGCTGAGCCCAAAGTCAAGAGGGAAATGTGTCCCCCACCATGAGGCTAACATCAATGAATCTGGGAAATATGTACTTTTCCCAAAGAGGCACAGGGGAAGAGAGGGAATATTTTTGAGAATAATATAACCTGCACATCCCAAATGTTTGTTGAAGTGCTCTGCCCTTTGAGATTTCAATAAAATCTGCTCAGAATTCACCTGCAGTAGTGTCATCCAGGCTGTTCAGGAGACCTCTAGCTTAGAGCTGCTCCACCCATTGAATTAGGCCAATTTATGGGTCTTTGATGGTCTTGTATTCTCCCCGTTCAACACTCACATCCCTTTCCTAGGTTCTCTTCAAAATAGTTCACACAGACGTGTGTAGAAGATTTTGCTGAACATTCGGAATAGCAAAGGAGTGTTATACCTCTGTGTAGAGTGTTATACCTCTGTGTAGAGGCTCCTCCTGCCTCTAGATTCAGTGTGCATCTCAGCCCACACCCTGGCCTCTCCAGCTTGCTGAAGATTCACCCTGTCTCAGAAATTCCCACAGTCTTGTCCTGGCTAGGCCACACCTTTGTGTAATTTGGTTTGGCTTCTTTTTTATTCATTTGACACATGCATACAGAGTGTTTGTGATCTCCCCTTGGTGTATTGTAGTATAGATGGGGAAGTTAATAATGTAGTTACTGTTGGGGGGCTAGGTAATCCTTCCTCGTGGGGGACTGTCCTGTGGATGGCAGGATATTTAGCAGCATCCCTGGTTTCTCATTAGATGCCAGTAACGACAGTCCTACTCCTCTTGAGTTATGGGCAACCAAGATATCTCTAGACATTGCCGCATCTCCTCTAGGGGACAAAGCCACCTCAGTTGAAAACCATGCTCTAATATACAATAGATTTCATGAAAAAAATATATACCTGATAAACCAAAATAATACTCTGAGGAGCATTCAAAGGAGGGTGACATTACTTTCTAGGGGTGAATCTCTGAGAACCTCAGGGGGCCCAGGGCCATCTGAACTTAGACTTCAAGAATGGCTAGGGTTTGAGACAAGTTTCCTGGAGGAGGGGAACAGAGGGTCCATATGAGTGAACAGGAAGTAGCCATTTTTGAGTAAAAGCTGAAGAGGAATAGGCATGTTGGTGAGAGAGGGGGCCCAGTGGATCCTGGGAGGCTACGTAATATGCGGCCTTATGAGTTGTCGCAAGACTTCCACTTTTACTCTCAATGAAATGATGAATGTATTTGCATTATGTTCATTTGGAGGAGGAGCCTTCAGACTTAGGGCTTATGGTCATCACCTGAAGTAATTGCTACAAAGTCTCCTCCTTCCAGTGTTCCTTTTTTTGACACCCAAGAAGGACGCGGAAAAGTTCTCCAAGAGGCCTGCGGGGATATAGCTCAGGTGGTAGAGTGCTTGCCTAGCATTCACAAGACCCTGGGTTCCATTCCCCCCGCCCAGCACCCCCAAAAAACAAAAACAATAAAAGAAAAGTTCTCCAAGGGGCACAGCATATTCCTAAACAAAGCCATGCCTATCCATACCTCTCAGAAGATCTCACTCTTTAGTTCTAAATCTAATTGGTAGTCAGTTCCCAAGGAAGATGGAAGAAGGGGAGAGCAAGGGAGAGGATTCATACAGGCAGGATGGCCTCTGTAGCAAAGCTTCCTGCACAGCAAGGGCAAGGGCCAGAAGCAGAAGTGGACAAGTGAGTGGTTGGATGGATGAATGAATGAATGAATGAACAAATGAACCAAAGAATGAATTCAGACCAATGCATTCAAGAGGCGCAGCAGTCTGGAGTCCTTTAGGCAGAGGATCATCTCCCTCACTACCCCCAAGGACATTGCTGCCTCACAGCACACCCTCACATGACAATATATGCAGTGTTTAACTAGGCAGGGACTTCGTGAGACACCAGAGAACCCATGTGGCAGGAGTTTGGCATAGTGGTTAGGAGCAGAGCTGGAATTGTATTTCCTGGCTCATGTCCTTGGGTCAAGGCTCTGTATCAACAAACTGGTTACTTAATCTTGACAAGCCTTATTGATCTCATATGCAAAATGGGGATTCCCTACTCATAGGGTCATTGGGAAGGTCAAATAAAGTAGCCCATGTGCTTCCTTAGCTCTTGGCACAGAATAAGTTCTCACTAAAAGCTAAAAGCTAATGATTATTCTTTTTTTTTTTTACATTTTTTTTTGAGAGAGAGAGAGAGAGAGAGAGAGAGAGAGAGAGAATTTTAATATTTATTGTTTAGTTTTCAGCGGACACAACATCTTTGTTTGTATGTGGTGCTGAGGATCGAACCCAGGCTGCACGCATGCCAGGCGAGCGCCCTACCGCTTGAGCCACATCCCCAGCCCTAATGATTATTCTTATCATTTCACTGGAAGAACACGGTTGCTGAGACTTCCCCCAAACCATGGCTGTAGTTGCTCTTCTGTAATATTCTCAGAGTCTCCTGGAAGTGCTGAAATTTCCCTTTTGGAAAATATATAGGAGGCTGCGTGAAAAACGAGGAAAGTTCCAGAAGAGCAGGGGGGCAGTTACATCTGTTCCTTCCATCTTCCTTCTTTTTGGCAATAAAAGCTGTATCACTAAGGGAGAGGACAGCAGCCTCCCATGGGTTTTGGGCACCAGCCATTTCTTAACAGTGTTATTTCCTTTGAGCAAGACTGACCCTTCACCTTTTGGCCATCCTGAGAGCAGGGCAGTTATTTTGAAATCACTAGAATATGAAGCTACTTCCTTCAGATATTATGCTCTGTTCTAGTAAACATTGTCCATCTACAAATAAGAAGCATGCCCAGGAGTTGGGCTGGAGGGGAGCTACCAAAGCATATTGCACAGTAATGACTTTGAACTTGTGGAGGTAGCCCTGGGTTGTGTTCCTTTAACCAATATCTACCCAGTGACAAAACTGGAAACAGAGGGCACTCTGTAATATAAAACCTTGGCCTGGCTCCTCAGCAAAATGTAAAGACTGCTAGGAAGGTCCAAGTCACCCCACAGGAAGGACGGAGCTGCTCTCTTGCCCGTGGACAGCAAGACAATAAAGCAACTTGTCCTCTGTTTGTTTGTCTTCCAGGCTGGAGCAGGAAATCCAAGCACTCGAAAGTGAAGAATCCCAGATATCTGCCAAAGAGCAAATCATCCTGGAGAAGCTAAAAGAGACAGAAAAATCCTTCAAGGACTTTCAGAAGGTGAAGAAACCAAATATGATTTCTCTAAGTCCTGTCCATGGGGAAGCAAGCCCTAGGAAGATGTCACCAAAGAGGCCAGTGGGTGTTGAAAAGTCCGAGCCACACACTCTGTGAAATGAGGGACAAGGGTGTGAGGATCACATGCCATCCCTAAAGCTGAGTGGCCTGCCTGTCTTTGGGCGTGGACCACGTGGTCTGCAGGGAGGCCTTGAAAAGAGTCATTAGTTAACCCCTTCCACCTGCTGTCCATACCTTTTTCTGCCTAATGCCTTAAAATCTTCCCCTATTGGACTCCAGAACTATGAAACCAATTCCTGCTCAGCAGATTAAACACTCTCCCTGGGGCTTTGCTTATGGAGTCTCTGCTTTATAAAAGGGCCAGAGACAGTACTGTTATCAAATGGACATGAATTTCAAATACAGAGTGAAATCTAACGACGTAAAAACAAATGACGTTGTGTAGAAAAGAGCAGAGAATCCAGAAGGCCAGTGGGCCCTGAGTATCTCAGGACCTTCCCTCCATTCTGTCCCTGCTGTTTCCGCAGTACCTCGGTGAGAGACAACCAAACTAATGAAATGGATTTTAAGATGAGATTTTTCTAATATCACTTCTTCAGCACAACCCAGGATGTTTTCTAAATCATTAATAAAATCAATATGATAATGAATTGATCAAAATTTGGTATAAGATGGGGATGGAGTGGGGCGTGGTGGCACCTGCCTGTAAACCCAGCGATTCAGGAGGCTGTGGCAGGAGGATTGAGAGTTCAAGGCCAGCCTGCGCAACTTAGTGAGACCCCGTCTTGTGATAAAAAATAAAAAGGGCTGAGGATGTAATGTGCCCTTGGGTTCAATCCCAGTACCAAAAACATAAACAAAAGTTGGGGTTGATAAACCTTAACAGTTCCCTTAGTTTTGTGGATAATTTCTCAGAAGAAAAGAGAGCATGGGGTTCGCCCGCCACAGTCACATTCTGAGCCTGGGCCTGGGAAGGAGTGGCTGAGGGCTGAGAGATGGCACCCCACACGCGTAGTAATGCTCTGCCCTGCTTTTGTTTCCACAGAGCTTCTCCACTACGGATGGAGGTAAGTTCCGCTGCCCCTCTGTAGATGGATGCTTTTCTCCTGCTTAGGGGTCTCTTAACCCAGGCCCACCAGGAGACGCAACATGTGGCTTTGCCAGGGTGTCAGATGGAAGGACAGCCCTGTGGGCAGGGCCCCGAGAAGGTCCACATTCCCCGTCTTTACCGCCTCCCTTCTTTAAGGACGTTTCTCTGCCTCCTGCTTCTGTTATAAAGTCGGCCATTAGTTCTCAAAGGCTCACTGCCTGGGCCTTTCATAAAAGAAACTCAGCAAAGAAGCGAGCTAATGTCAGGACCAGGTCCCTGCAGGAAGGGCCCATTTGTCCTGATTAAACCACACATCAGAAGGTCATTTGGCATTGAGGAAGCCTGTCTAAAGCCCCTGGTGTTTCTTTTCTTCCTTCCCTCCCTCCCTCCCTGCCTCCCTCCCTCCCTTCCTCTCTCTCTCTCTCTCTTTCTTTCCCTTTCCTTCCTTCCTTTCCTTCCCCTCCTTCCCTCCCTCCTTCCTTTGAATCAGAACACTGCAGTTCCTCCACACTTCTAGGGAAACGGAGCTGGGCAGAACTTCCCTCCCTGTGGAGAGAGCTGGCCAAGAGCACAGCAAAGGTGCCCTGGCTTTCTGACCCCATGGTAGCAGGTCTTTCTCCTCCTGTCCTTTTTGATGCCCTGTTCTCTCCTCTGCCCTGTTCTGCCCTCTCCTGAGCCGTGAGGATGAATATGGGCTTCTGGTCCTTCACTGGCCTCCCCTGACCTCAGCTGCAAGCCTGTGATTCCCACTCTGACTTTAGTCCTCAACTAGATCTGCTTAAAAATATGAGGACTTGTTGAAGGCTCGCTCATAAGCCACCTGCTCACCTGGCTCTTGTGAGGTCAGCCTCTAGACCAGGAAGGTGATCAGGAGCTGGAAGAGTTGGATCCAAAAGTGTTCCCAGTGCCATTTGGAAAAATGTGAGGAAAAATTTTAAAATGCAGTGATATATAGTGCATTTTCCTGAATCAGCCAAAGGCCAAGGACATTCGTGATAAGAATAGTTCTGACTTGGTGTCGGGGGTGGTGGGAGGGTAAAGATATGATTTTTTCCCCCCTCAGCACAAAAAGGCAAGAGATCTGGATCTTTGGCTTCTGGGTAATCTTTGGGAAGATATTAAATTAAACTTCCTGCTCGCAGGTGTGTAGGCAGGACAAGCCAGCAGGGACTCTGGGAGAAGAGGACCTACCTATGACAGTTGTAGGAAGAGAAGCTGAGCTCTTGCTCAGGTGTGACCCAGTGGGGGCCCTTGTTCTGTGCTTTGCAGGTGGGGCATGGACTGAGGAGGTGGCCTTGGTGAATTGGGGTTGCTGCATGAGAAGAGAGCCAATCCTACATGATCTGCAAGAATGCAGGACGTGTCAGGCTAGGCTGGGCTGGGACACTGACCCATAGACACCCACTTACCTAAAGAACATAAGTTGTTCTACACTTTGACTTTGTTTCTTCCTTTCTCAAACCAGGTCCTTCCCTGAATTTCTCTCTGATAATTGGTGAAGGGGAGGGCCTGCACATCTTGTCCCCAAGGCTGGAGACTCTCTAGTCTGTGACTTAATAAGCAGAAATAAGGCCATGTTATAAGCTCTCGCTGTGTGTCTCTTTTGCACCCTGAACTTCTGCTTTCCTCCCGCGTTCCACCCCACTGTTCCCACCCATTCCCCTATGGGCTCATAGAGCTGGGAGGCATCCTGAGCAGGACTGAAAAGAGGGCCTGCAAGAAAGTGGCCCTTGACTCCGTCCTCCATCACCTTTGCCAGGGTGGGTGAGCTCAGGCTTGGGAGGGTGTGAAAGTCTGAGGCATCCCAGGAAGGAGTTTCCATGTTCTCAGTGTCACTCTGGATTGTGATTCCTGCCATCGATGGTTCTAACAAGCCTAGTGCCTTCTCCATCACACCACACCTACTAGCCAAGGAGGAAGTTTGGAGGGGGGAGCGCAGGCTTGGAAACACGTGATCAAGGTACAGGTCATGTTTGGCCGGCGGGGAAGAACTGAATGAAGCATGTCGTCACACTTGAGGGATTTGGGGATGTCTGTTTTCTCATTCTGTGTTTCAAAGGCTCTGAGTTACCCAGACCCTCTTAGAAAGAGCTAATTGTTGTTACTAAGAACTAACAAGAAACTATTGTAGAACAACAATACCTTAAGAAAACCCTAAATTTCTGAGATACACTGTTTACAGAATCTTATATCCAGTATGGATTTTGTTAACTGTATGGATGCTGCACCTCATCAACAAAAGCACCCTCTATGTTTGAGGTGTCAAGGGGACAGCTGGTGATGTGTGTTCATGTGATAACCCTTCTTCTGGTACCCTGTATGCGTCACCCTCCATGTGTCAGAGGAAATGGCCTAATGCACTGCAGGGTCACCAATGGCTTTTGATGCCATGGTAGCCCTGGTAATCAAGAGCAGTTTATTCCAGACTTCAGTAGAGTTTCCTGGTCATGTATATTCTGATCCCCCCACCGCAACTTTTATCACATAGCAGACCCCTCAGCAAGTGGGTGGGTTATTTTTACTGCCCTACACAGACACAGTGTCTTATGTAACTGTAAACTGCAAACAGTATGTGTCTCCTGTTGTCTCAGCTCTTTACCCACTAAGAAGCTGGTATGACGCCCTTGGCCAGAACAGGTAAAGGAAAACGTCAATCCTGGGATCATCTCAGTCCTTGCTGTGAGACATGGATCTAGGGTTCCCAGCCCATCCCAGTCTTTGGTGGCCTGGAGCCTTCCCTGCATCAGAACCTTTATACCAATGATTTAGAAATCTCAGTCTTTAGTTGCTTGTAAGTCGTATTTTAAGGAAAATTTTTAATTTTGTTTCTCTAGTCTGTGTTCTTTATAGCTACTGTAAGTGGCAGTGCTGGAACCAAAGGCATCCTAAGTTTATGTTCTTTTTAAGTGATTGCTCTCTACCTTCTCTGAAAATGGGGAGATAACTGATGGACCTCCTTGACTTTGTAAGGAAGAGGGCAGTTATTGATGGAGGCCACCTAGAATAATGGAGGCCCTGTTCATTATCCCTTGGCTGCATAACTGCTTAATGATAGCTAGGCGTGGGGCCTGGCACGGTGACACATGCCTGTAATCCTAGTGGCTTGGGAGGCTGAGGCAAGAGGATCACAAGTTCAAAGCCAGTCTCAGCAAAAGCAAGGCACTAAGCAACTCAGTGAGACCCTGTCTCTAAAAAAAATACAAAATAAGGCTGGGGATGTGGCTCAGTGGCTGAGTGAGTTCAATCCCTGGTACCCCCCCCCCAAAAAAAAATAAAATATTTAATGATGTCCCCTTCTGTGTCCCCTCCCATACCCCACTCTCCACTCCCTTGTCTTAGCAGAAGCCATGCAGCCCCAGTCCTCAAGAAGTATAACTCCTGAGCTTGTAGCCAGTGAACATTAGGTAAGGGTACCTCTGTCACCAACTCGTATCTGGCTGGGTGCCTCCTAGAGGAAGCTGAGACATGAGTCCTGGGATCTACAAGCTCTTTAAGAGGCAGAATCCTCTATCTTCAAGTGGATTTTGTTTCTAGCTGCTAAAACTTGGAGCATGCAGAGTGCCCTAGATGTTGTATATTTAGCATAGAACTTCTAGATACACATGTGACCCGTATGGGAGCTCTCACCTGATCATGACTTGAACTTCCATCTCATTCAAATGCAAGAAGTCAGATTTACTGAGATCCCATTCCACATATTTCTGGAAATCCTCAGTGAAACTCGGAAGTTCTGCAGATCTGCTCTGGCCATCTCTTTGCTCCTGAACTGTCCCTCTGGTCCCAGATTTCCATGGACCATCATTACCAATTGGCCCCGATGCCTCAAGACCAGTTTACTTCAAGTGCTGTTCTCTCTGGTCCTGCCTTGGGCTGGTTTGGAGCACTGGTCCTTCCCACAGCTCCTCACAGTGAGAGCTGAGAGATGTCTGCAGTCAAAGTTCAGGAATAACGGAAGCACAGCTCAGCATGGAAAAGGTGCAACTTCAGACACATGGCTACTTTCAGAGCCCCTGGCTCAAATCCTGCCTATCCTCGGAGGGCCCCACAGCCTGTTTCACAGCCATCTCCCAGCCCACCGTCACCTCAAAGGCTCAGTTCCCTTCCTTGCGGTGAAAGGAACTTCAACCATGTCTGCCCTGCAGGATCCGAGCTCCAGCACACATAGACCCCAGAGAGAGAGGGCACCGTGAGGCTGACTCCAGCCTAAGACTGCCCACCTGATCCTTATCTTCTGTCCTGTTCCTTCTTCCCTTGTGCTTGATGGGGAGGAGGGTACTATTCTCTTAGAGAAACAACCCCACCTTTGCCCTAAGAACATAGAACAGTGTAATATCGGTACATTCTGGATTGTTCAGACTCGCACACAAATCAGCAAATGGTCTGGTTGGTGTAGAATACAACTAATCCTCACTCAGTGTCTGTTTATAGCATGAAATTTAAGAAAGAAGAAACCTGCCAGAACTAACGCGATATCAGTGGGGAGAAAGAGGGGAAGCAGGTAGGAGATGTGGAAGAGGCAGAGGTGACAGGGGCTGAATGGATGCTGGGAGTGGCCAGCAAGCCCAGAGACAGTGCAGGTGAAGCAGCAGCTACGATACAGGTTCCATTTTAATGGACATTTTGAGTTTGAGATGATTGGGGGATATTTAGTGGAGATGCATAGTAAGCAGTTAGAAATAATCATGAATGAGTGATTGATGTTCTGGGATTAGCATCACATGGAGCCCAGCTTTCTAGAATCTTCCTGCCTTTGCTTTTCCACTTCTCTCTGGGAATACCCAGATTCTTCTTGTCTCACGCCAGTGGTTGCGTTTTCTCTTCTGATAGCTTGGCAAACCTGTAATATTCATGGCCTCCAAGTCATACCTTCTAAATGGGCTTGTCAATTTGCTTGTCCGTACACCACTGAGGGTCTCTCTCCTTTCATAGCCACACTTAACTGTTACTGGGCTAACAGGGAGTTCCCTGGGTGGTATGATTGGAATCTCAGAATTTTTTTGCCTGAAATTCCAGCCTGGAGTTTAAAAATCATGGAATAAAATTCTGGAGTTTGTTTTAATGCATATGAAATCAGTCTTTTGAATAAATAAGGCACATGAATTTAGCTGTATTTTCCTGTACCGTGTAGTGCCCCCATTTTTATTGTGACGATCCATGTTTGGTCAATCCCGCCAAGTTGATAATGGCTTTCACTGGCCCGTCTCTGATTCTTTTTTGGCCCCTGAATTCGTCCTAGACTCTAGAACTTTCTGATGACTCTTCCAATACACAGAGCAGTCCTGGGGCTTGAGCTCTCTGGCCAGGATCCCTCCTACCTCAGCTACTCTGCTGAATACCAGTCACTGGGCAAATGCTTGGCTTTGTTTACTCTGATCCTCTTGTCCAGTGGCCATCGCAGCGGTCCATTATGTAGGGCAGACAAGCTGCTGTCTCGGCAGTGAACCCATTGGGCCTCCCGACACTGTGCCTAATTGTATTCCCTGTTCTCTGCTACCAGATGCAGTAAATTACATTTCCTCCCAGCTCCCCAACCTGCCAATCCTCTGTTCACGAACAGCAGAACCGTAACCTGGGCAGGAGGGGACCAGCAGAACATCTGGTAAGTCCTGGGGAGTGCTTTGGTTTGGCACCAGGACTGTCCAAGGGGCTTGCGTTTCTCTCAACTTGATAGCGAGATGGGTGCCCTGATGCCTTTACATAGGGGATCCCCTCCTTCAGCCCAACTTCAGACACAGCATGTACAGTGGCCACACAGGTAGGCACTGGCCCCTGATGGGTGATTGAAGAGCAAATGGGAGGGAATTTGAGGAAATCAGAATTTTGCCTCCGGCTCCATGGGAACCTTTCTTTGGTATTTGTGGTCTTTATATCTGTCTTTACTCTTAATCTGTAGTGTACCTCCAGGGAATTTTATTTCCCTCATTCAAATTGCACAAATTGAAAGCACTCTAATAGAAGCTGGGTAGAAAGTATTTTCAAAGCATATGAGACCATTGCAGGAACCCCTGGGGAATTGAACTGTCTTATAATTTGAATCTGTAGTTCCAAGTCTTCCCAGTTCTGGAGTTATTTAGATTTGCGGGGGTGGGGAGAAGTAGCAATTTAAAGATTAAATGTTTCTTACTAATATTTCTGACAATGGTAAAGATTCTAAAACAAGATGTTGATGAGCGTAGAGTCTACAGAGAGCCATGCTTTGTTTCTTGTGAATGTGCCTCAGAAATCAGAACCGGAAGGATGCGAATAATAAACCCCTACACCAACCCATTTGCTTCACACAGAAATGCACCAAGGGCTGGGGATTCAGTGAAAACATGAATTTCCCAGAGTTGCAGTTAGTGACAAGGTAGGCAAATTCAAATAGGAGCAACAGGTTTCACACTGTCTCCTCTAGGTAAGTCTGTTTAAAACAAAGCATGTAATGGCATCTTGTAAAGCACAATGGTCATGTACTTTTAAGCCAGAAGTCTTTTATATAGGCCTAATCTGAATATTTTATGACATAAGCAAAATATAAAAATAATATAAAAAGTTTTAATGTAAAAGTGAAAGGAAAATAAGAATTGACATAACTGTCATGTCCACTGGCTAAATCTAAATGCCTACTGGGCATCTCTGTAGACACCTCAGGATACTATTTTTACATACAGACTCAAAGAGTTCTAGAACTAGATGGGACTGTAAGTGATGTCTGGCTAAACCTGGACCAGGTCCACATATCCCTGGACAATTAGAGGATGGATATGCCAGAATCTATAAAGGAACCACTGGCAGTCACTTAAACTGTGGGCTCTTTTGGGTGCTCCGAGACACACTTCTGAGATCAACATGCATACCAAATGTTGAAAAGTCACACGCCTCCCTGCTTGTTATTAGAGACTTGGGGGATTGATTGTTTCCTCCCAACTCCTCTCTGTAAGTTCCTGCCCCTCAAAGGATGGGTAATATGATCCAGCTAATGGATCAGCTCATGGATGGGGTAGGACATGTATATGGGACTTAATTTTAAGAGATAGGGAAAGGATTTGCACACTGTTGGTGATCAAGGAACATGAAGTTCAAGGATAACAATGTGCTTTGTAAGTGGGGAATTCATGTGCGACCACAGCCTGGCATCCTTCATGTTTGAAGATACTGTAGAACCATAATCACCTAAGTAGTAAGTGCATTTTTAAAAGCATGTGTGATCAGAATGTTTTTAAAAATAAGTTTTCATCTGCTTTTGTTTATTAGTTGAGAAGTAATTTGCATAAATGCTTTACTCTGGGAATACATATAAGGGAAGGTGTGGAAGGAATCAAATTTCATGTGGTTGACTCCTTTGTCTGGGCTGCTTCTAGAATGAGCAAACTATCCATTGTAGTTAACAGTGGCCACACAGAGCCCATGTGGCATGCCAACCAGTGGCACTCATCAGTAGAATTCTAGACACAATCCATCCTACGTTAAGGACATCCTTTTGGAGATTTGCAAGATCCTAGAGCCATTTTTGTAAGTGTCATCTGTCATGATGGCATGATGCAGACATTCTGGTTGTTTGGTATTAGAAGGTTTCAGACTCTGTATAATTAGAATTTATTTAGAACCGTTGCTCTTCGGAACTGGGAGGCATGGAGGTATAAGGAGTCCCTTATCCTAACGCTTGAATCCCTGCTATAATGGCCTTCCGCAAAGAGGTCCTCAAACAACAGTCACACACTTCAGTGATTGCAGCCTGATCTCCTCCAGGTTGTCCATTCTGTCACTAGATGGTTCTGACGGTTGGAAAATTCATCCTCTGATGGAGCTATCATTTATCTGCCTTCATCTTCCATCTGTTGTTCCTTCTCCTTCCCCCTGGAGCTGCTCAGAACAAATCCAAGTTGGTGTTCTTTCAAGCATTTGAAGATGACAATCCCTTCCTGTCTTTCCCGGATCCTCACTTTAAATGTCCTTTCCGCCACTGTCCCAGCCCCTGGTCCCTAGATGATGAGACTGTTTGGCAACACCCTCTGCCATCTCTGCCCCTCTCCTCTGCACACTCCCCATTTTGTCTCTAGTCTTCTTGAAACAAGGTGGGCAGAGCTGTCCAATGCACCCTGAGAGAGGCTGACCAACCCCTGCCATGAAGCAGGATGCCACACACCAGTGGCTGCCTCTGTGGCGTCTAGCCTGTCAGCTTCTCTTTCTACAGTAAAGCTTCACCTGCCTGCTCAGCCTTGCCTGATGCCTTTTCTGGGTGAGGCCTCATTCTGAATCCTTTCAGTGGAAACCTGTAGTCTACCACCTCCCTCCTGTTCACACACCATGTCACCTGCTCAACATGTAGAAGCACCTACAAAAATCATTCCTTCATCTCAAAAGACAAAAATAAGAATGAGCTATGAACCTTTCTGCCCTTTGTCGATTTGATATGACTTATATTTCTTTTTGTAAGCTTGTCTCTAGCAGATGTTGGGGATTCCACGGAGCCAAGGCAGGGAGGTGGAGGGGAAAGTTACAGGACGTGACAATCGGGGCTCTGGTGTTCTCTCTCATCTCAAACATAGCGGCTTCCCCTCCTTGTATTTCCATTGTATTTTCATTTCTGCATCAAATTCCATTTGAATCAAGGGTTTGGAAGTTTCGAAAGTAGAAAAAAAACTTTATTATATGTTATTAGAGTCTTTGTAACTCATGATTATGGTACTTGATAGCCTCATTCTTCTTCAGTTGAGTACCACCTTGAATCTGAAATGCAATCTTCCATTATTTTTCATCATTTCACATTGAAAAAATATTGCACGTTGAAAGCAAAGTTAGAGCCTGCGGCACACCACAGGGTCCCAGTTTGTAGTTAACAGCACCTTTCCTGATGTTCAAGATTCCTGAGACAAAGTCAGGGAGAAGGAAACTGGGAACCTGAGCCCAAAGCACCGAGGACCTTTCTGACTGGTGCTTGGTTGGTTTCAGTCTTCTCATCAGAGCTTTGATCTCAGTGGTATTCTTGCTGGTAATTTTCAGACTAGCATCTGTTTTTCTTTACCAAAAAGATAAACACAAAATCAGAGATGAGAAACTGACTTTTGCCTTTGCTATCCAAGGACATCACACCCATGCTAATTTTGTTTCAGCAATGAAAATCTATTCTGTCACAGTCTTGGAGGCTAGAAGCCTGAAATCAATGTCTGCAGGACTGGTTCCTTGTGAGGGCTGTGAGAATCCGTTTCATGCCTCTTCCCTAGCTCTTTAAAGGGTCATTTATGCATAGACACTTGGATTTCTTTTCACTGACTCATGGCAGTTGTACATATCTCTAGGGAACAGTGTAATCGATCAGTGTATGAATACAACGTGAAATGATCAAATCAGATGATTAGCATTTCCATCTCTGTTCTTTGTGTTGGGAACTCCTGTCCTCTCAATCTTTATGAAACATGTAATTAAATGTTGTAAACTGTACTCACCCCACTATGCTGTAAAATAGTAAGGTATCTTGGGAAGACAAATAATTCAAAGAAAAAGTTTAGGATGAGAGGGAGACTCCACTGTGAATTAATCTCCTCATTTTCATTGTCGTCAGTATCATAAGAGCTGATTTCACATTTCCAACCTCGAGAGAGACAGGTGTGCACACATATGTGCTCTGAGGGTGAAAACTACACATAGGTGTGTTCCTTCAGTCAGCCAAGCACACGCATCACTTGTTAATCACATGTCAGGTTGCAGTGCCGGCTCCTGAATGTTTCTTATACTGGGGGACCCTAGCTAGGCGCCCCTGGTGGGTGACGGTCGCCATCTGCCTGTCTGCTGCTCTCCTGATGTACTCTGCACATCACTGACTCGCGAGCCACACAGCTGTCCACAGCACCATGACACAGCAGAGCTGCTAGTTTTCATCATACAAATGAGAAAAACGAGGCCCAGAGATGTGGAGTGACCCCGAGTCGGAAGCCGATCCACTGTGTTTCTGCCTCCCCCTGACTAACGACAGCAGACGTGTGGTACCTGTACTTTCCGTGTGAACCTCCGACTTATTCTTCCTCCCATGATCCCAGAAGGGCAAAGGAAGTGAGTTGGGAGAAGCCCCAGTCAAGGGATTCAGCACTGATGGAATTCTCTACCCTCCAGGAAGATGGTCTTGTTTTGTGTGTTCTTGGATTTATTTCTCAAAAGAAGTCACTTGCTCCCCGGCCTCCCTGTGTCAGATGACCTCGTTCCTCTTCTCTCAGCTCCCGACAGCCTTTACAGTTGCTTGCTGTTTGCTCGAGGTGGAGGAAACAGGCAACAGGTAGTGGATGGGGCCAGGGGAATGGGCTGGAACCTGGACCCGGCTGATCTGCTCCTCATACCCATCCCATCTCCGGGCCCCTGAGCCTCAGGCCCCAGTGGCTTCTGTCCTGAAGCCCTCACCTTGGCTTTTAGGTAGGTGACTTCCCAGGGGCCTCCCTGTCTCCTCCACACCTAGGTGTCTTCAGAACCCAGACCCCAGAATTTTCTCCCCCCCCCCCCCCATTGAGGTGAGTCTCCTCCTTCAGGGAGGGTCTTCTACTGATGGAAGAACTAGGGGGAGCAAGAACCAAGAAAACCGTACACAGAGGCGCAAAATCAAAGCACTTAAGCGCTGTTCGTTCGCATCCCTCTGAAGAAGCCAGCCATATCTTGTTTTGTTTTTGCTTCAGAGATTGAACCTAGGATGCTTAACCACTGAGCCACATCCCCAACCCCTTCTTCATTTTTTTTCTTGAGACCATGTCTCGCTGAGTTGCTTAAGGCCTCACTAAGTTTCCAAGATTGGCTTTGAAACTTGCAATCCTCCCGCCTCCGCCTCCAGAGCCGCTGGGATGATAGGCCTGCGCCACCCTGCCCGACTGCCACAGTGGTTCTGATTCTTCACTCATAGTGCTCAGCTGTCTCCCTGGATTGTTGGAAAGATTAGTGAAAGTGCTTTATCTACTCCATCAGTATGTAATGTTTGGAAATCCATAGTTAAATATGTTGTTGAATAAAAGTGTACTTCCATACCCCAGTCAACCTGTGAGTGAAATGTTCTTTGAACTTTCTTGTATCTCATATGTTTCGCTTCTTGCCCAAGTTCTTCCTCCAGGAAGTTTTGGAGAACTGTTACTTTTGCATATGTCTATGGGGCTCTTTTGGAATCTCTTTCAGGGGCTCCCCAGAAAGCCCCTCCCATCAAGAATACTTTTTCTTCCTCACCTCTCCAAGATGAACAAAAGCACCAGGCCCCTCTGACCCTCACCACTGTACAAACTGCAGGCACTTCCAGCATGGGGAAGCTTGGGGGCAGCCAGGGGCAGACTGGAGGGCATTCTTGGTGGTGAGAGACGAAGGCCTAGGGGTGAGAGGCTTGGAATAAACTACTTGGCAGCAGTCAGAAGCAAAAGAGGATTGAAAATTGGGTGCATTAGGCTAGGTATGGTGGGCCAATCCTGTAATCCCAGCTGCTTGGGAGACTGAGGTAGGAGAATCCCAAGTTCGAGGCCCCATTAGCAACTTAGTGAGACCCTATCTCAAAATAAAAATATATAAATAAATAAAAAGAGCTAATAGAACACATGCTTAGCAGGTGCCATGGGTTCAGTCCCCAGTACCAAAAGAGAAAGAAACAGAACAAAACCCCCAAAATGTTGAATTTAAAAGTCTTATTATTCTACTTGTTCATATCTACCATCATTCATAGTTTGTGCATTTTGGAGAACTGAAGCAAAATCTAAGTGCTTACTCATACAGAATACATTTAAGATAAATCTTCACACCTCCTGTGCAATTTTCTGAATGTCTAAATAACATCTCATGTTATTCTCCAGGAGGACCAAATATTGTTCTTGGGGTAAGCCAGACATTCTTGAAGGGTTCAAGAGTAAGTGCAGGAAGGAATTGGGAGCATATCCTTGAGGAACCTGCTAAAAATCTGATTCCTTTAAAGGCTTGTGTTTTATCTGAGGGAAAAAATATGAATATTGCATTTTATTGCATAACATATCTTAAATTTGTCTTATTATAAAAGTATGCTAAAAGGCTTAAAATATTCTACACTCAGATTCTAGAAATATTGAAAGAAACATGCATAACATGTAAACATAGATGCACTATGTAACCCTAATAAAACATGTCACATGTGGTTCATTGGTGTGGCTGCGTCATTACCTCACCCCTTTATGTGTGGATCTACTTAACCTTCCTAGCAAAGAGCTCATCATACCTTTGTTCTTTCCAGTCTCTGATTCTAGGAGCAGAACAAGGTAAAGTGAGGTTGGAGGGTTGGGGAGGGATTGAAACGACAATAACATGTCCTCATTGGCACCAAAGGAAGAGGGACATTTCTAAACATTTCCGTGCTAATAATTTGTATCCTTCACATACGTATGCGAAAATAAAAATATTTTGTTCTATATTTTGTATTGATGGTGGGTCAATGCATCATTTTGTTCACCTGTCTCTGGATGATTGGGGATAATTCAATATTGTACCTGCAAACTGACAACCTATGTCTCTTGAGTGTGTTAATGGTAGTAGGATAGAACATTTTGGCCCAAGACTGTGCTTTTTAATATAACTGTAATATTTCAAGAACAGGCTTTTGGAGACCATGCAAAATTTTAAATTCATATTTCACTTCCCTGATGGCATCATGTGGAAAATCAGGAAATAACTGAGATGAATTTTTCTTTTGACATCACAATCTTTGTATGTGAGCTCATGTACCTCAGTGACAAATAATGGCCGGTCTTCCATTGTGTCACTTGAGAAAACTCAAAATCCTAATACAAAACAAGTGAAACCTTTAAGGCAGTAATGGTGAAAATTGGGCATTGGCTTTTGCTCCTTAATCTTGTTGGTGAAGTGTGAACTGTTAAAAGACTGTCTTATTATGCAAGCAGACAGAACAATATCATTGCTGTTTTTTAAAATCAGTTTAAACATTAATTACTGTATGTAACTTCTTATTGGTGTCATATTATTATACAAAGTACTTGTGACTACGTTAAGACCATCAAATTAGACTCTTTAGTTAGTAGCATTTGTTTCATGGGTGTGAATGTCTGGAACCTTCTATACAAAAGGTTCTAAGGTGGGTGCTGGCAGAGTGGGACAGTCATAGAAAGGTGGCAGGCAGCAAGTTTACTTTTAAGGATCCTAAAACTCTATGAAGGTGATAAAACATTCCCACAAACAGTTATACTGCTGGGTGGAAATTGTTAAGTGCCCTCAGATAAGTTTAGAAAAGGTGTTCAGAGAATCTAAAGGAGAGAAGGATGACTTAGAGATGGGAGGACCCAAGAAAGCTCATGGGAGAGGGGCAGTTGACCTTGACATTGATGGATGGGTCCTATTTGGTTGGGTAGAAAGTCAAAAGAAGGACATTTCAGAAGGGAATCATAAAAACAGGAAATACCTAGATATGGAAAGGTGTTACATGGTTGTGCTCAAGGAAAAGGGGGTGATAGAATATATGTTTGGAAAGATAGTTTGGATCTTCTTAGCAGGTAGATATTCAGAAATGCGGGGACTCAAACCATGATAAGCAAGGCTCTAGAAGTCTGCCATTGGACAGGGACAAGGGGCAGGCTAGGCCAAAGGACAACAGGCACAGGGGATGCTGGGCTGTGTCCTGCGAACAGTGAGAGGTTTATTGTGGCCAGAGTATGTGGAGCACAGAGAGCTGGGAGACAAGGCGAGAAAGGAAGGTCGCAGGCCACTTCTGAAGGGAGCTGGCCAAGTGGTGGAGTTTGGTGTTTATCCTCTATTGACAAGAAGCAGCAGAGGGTTTCCCAGTAAGGTGACTTCATGGGCAAGATGGTGAACAGGCATGGCACAGGCTTGGCAAACTTTTCCTACAAATGGCCAGATGGTCAATGTTTTAGACTTTGTGGACCACATAGGATCTCTATTGCATATTCTTTATATTTTTTTCTTCCTTTCCTCCTCCTCCTATTCTTTATATTTTTTCTTCCTATTCTTTCCCTCCTCCTCACCCTCCTCCTCACCCTCTTCCACGCCCCACCCTCCTCCTCCCTTTTAAAACTGTGAAAACCTCTGGTCATGCAGAAAGAGGCCCCAGGCTGCCTTTGGCTCTCTGGCAATAGCCACTGTCCCTGAGACAGTGGAAGAGAGAAGAGTCAGGAAACTCTGGAAGAAGGCTGTCGTGCGGGGTGAGGCTGTGGGGGCGTGGAAGGGGTGGTGAGGAGATGCAAGGGGCGGTCTGAAGCAGGTCTCCCTTGCAGTGATTGTTTGGCTGTGAGGTGAGAAGTTAGGAAGAAAACATGAATCATGTGTGACTCTGACTTGAGAGACGGAGTGAGTAGTGGTGCTGGGGGTTTTAACACCAAGACTGTGGAAGAGTTTCATGAGAAGGTGGGATCACGTTGAGGCTGCTGAGTCGGACGTGTCAGTGCATCATCCAGGTAAAGAGGGCCCCCACAGGTGGCTCTGTGGGCCTGGGACCCAGCTTCCTCCCATCCAGAAAGTGTGCCTCACAGGGAGCCTATGAGAGAAAGGACTTGAAAGGATGAGGTGTCCTGAGAGTGTCTATGGGACAGGAAAGAGTTGGTCCTCAGGAATACCAGATTGGCAGCAGGTGTGGGGTGAGTCGGAGGGGACAAGACTGGAGAGTCCGCTTCCCCAGTAGGAAGTTCTTCCAACAATCCAGGGAAGAGGAAAGGAGTCTCATGTTGGGTCATGGCAGTGGAACAGAAAGAATACGCAGAAAAGGTATTAAGGGGCAGGATGGCAGGGACTTGGCACTGTGTACATGGAAGAAGAAAGAGCCTTCTGCGATTTCATCCTTAGACTGTAGTGTCATAGGACGCCACTGTGTCTGTCTTGTTCTTTTCCTAGTTCTTGTTTTGGAAACCTCCCTAGTGACTGAAGTACTTACAAAGCATGTGACATGAATAACTTCACACCTTGTAATTTTTGCAAACACCCTGTTTTATAGCATAGTAGAGGATATCCATGTCCCTCCTAGAAAAGCCTGGGCATATTCACCCTCATAGCAAAAGGAAATCGAGAGGGCTAGAGATGTGGCTCAGTGGTGGAGACCTTGCCTAGCACGTGCAAGTCCCTGGGTTTGATCCCCAGCACCTCAAAAGAAAAGAAAAGCAGGAGGGGAAAAAAACAGGAAATGAGAACACTTGAGGAAAGAGTTGACAAAAGATTTAAGGTTTTGGAACCGGGACACATCTTAACCAAGGGCTTTTAGATTGTCTGTAAACCTAGGGAAGCCCACAACCAAGGTAAATGTTCAGGCTGTCAGCCTTCCTGTAATTCTTTCCGCCTAAATCTAAAGTCTCGTGTGAACTTATTTTATCAGTTCTTCTTTGAAAGTCTCAGTGTCATTGAGATACAGTAACTGTGTACTTCTGTCTTCCCAGTGCATTAAGCTGCTGTGTTAAAATGCACACGTAACCGCCTCTGTCCACGATGTGCACCTCACTCTAACACTCAGGATGCTTGGCGGTTAGAATAGAGAGGGCACAGAGCCATTTTTTTTTTTTCTGTCTGTTTGGCAATTAACCAATCACTGGCTTTTTTTGTTGTAACATGCACTTCCTTTCTCTTGTTTTCATTCAAGCTGTGTACGCCATGGAAATTAATGTGGAGAAAGACAAACAAACAGGAGAGACCAAGATTCTCTCTGCATCTACCATTGGCCCAGAGGGGGTCCATCAGAGAGGAGTCAAAGTCTATGATGATGGTACCAAAGTAGTGTATGAGGTGCACTCGGGAGGCACCGTGGTAGAAAACGGAGTGCACAAATTAAGCGCAAAGGATGTGGAAGAGCTTATTCAGAAGGCTGGACAATCAAGCTTGAGAGGAGACCACGTGTCAGAAAGGACTGTGATTGCGGACGGGAGCCTCGGCCACCCCAAGGAACACATGCTCTGCAAAGAAGCCAAGTTAGAAATGGTCCATAAATCTAGGAAAGATCACTCTCCTGGGAACCCAGGGCAGCAGACCCAAGCCCCCAGCACGGAAGGGCCAGAAGCAAGCTTGGATCAGCCCGTCACCATGATTTTTATGGGCTACCAAAATATCGAAGATGAAGAGGAGACGAAAAAGGTGCTAGGCTACGACGAAACCATCAAGGCTGAGTTGGTCCTCATCGACGAAGACGATGAGAAGTCATTGAGAGAGAAGACAGTGACGGACGTGTCCACCATTGATGGGAACGCAGCCGAGCTTGTGTCCGGGAGGCCAGTCTCAGATACCACAGAACCCTCGTCCCCAGAAGGGAAGGAAGAGAGCCTGGCCACAGAGCCAGCCCCAGGTACCCAAAAGAAAAAGCGCTGTCAATGCTGTGTTGTCATGTGACCACTTCTTTCTTCCCTCTTCCTCTGGGCAGCCTCTCTACTCTCCACCACTTACATAGACCTCACTCCACCACTAACTGCAATACTGTGAACCGGGAGCAGACACCTGCCTTGCCTTGCAGTTGGATTGCTTTGATCTCTCTTAATTTTTTTTTCCTTCTTCTCACCTGAGAAACAACGTGCATGTGTGTGCTCCATTTTTTTCCCTCCCAAGAACTTGCTTTTCTTCTCAACCTTTCTTTTGTGTCTTCGAGAGTGAATCGGTTCCTTTCTGCTCGATTGGAATGGACTCTTCATCTCAGCCAATTATCTAGTAGCCTTAATTTACTTGACTGGAATTGAACCTATTGGCACCGGGGCTTTCATTTTTCTAGAGTGTTCCTCTAACATAGTCACACACACACGCCACCACGTCCCTGACTTCTCACTGCCTCCCTCGCTGTGGATCTTGTTTTTCTGTCTCATGTGGCAAAATGCTGTGGGCTCCAGCTGGTTGCTAGTGTAGTCAAAAGTGGACCTTCCTTAATCTGTCCATTCTAGGGTGATGCTTTTTGCTGCCTTATGTATGCTTCCAGATTACAGTATTGTGTGTCTATGGCTTTCCTTCTGTTAAAACCGAAACGAAGTTCATGGGAAAGGAAAGAACCCAGTGTGTGTCACAGATGAAGTATAGGCCTGAGTCTAACCACTGCCCATCAGCAGCTGTGTCTCTTTCTATGGCTTAACCGATGAACCCTTTATACAAGAAGCACCATTTTAAATTTTCTAAGGACATGAGACGACCAATGTTTTAAGCCTCAGTCGAGATCTCTAAGCTCAGACAGGCCAAATCCATGAGCCTTGTTTCTATTCTTTAAAAAAAAAAAAAAGTAAAGTTTTATATTGTTTTTCTTTTTCATGGATATTTTCTGATCATGTTAATCTACTTTCAACGAGAGGATCATTTTGAGAAGTATCTCTGCAGTGACCACATTTCTAGAACAGTCTTTCTGACCTACAGTGGTTGCTTCCGTGCTCCCACTTCATCTAGGATGGTGCTGTCAGCATTAACTGTCCATCTCCTGTGCCCGGTTGATTCGAGTCTTGCATCTGTACTCTTTTCTTTCTGTTCCCATGAGAATGTTTCAGGTAACTTCGACATATAGGTTTACCTGCCCTTCAAAAACCCTCTTTAAGATGTTAAAAAAAAAAAAAGTTGAAAGATGAAGAAAGACTTATCTTCTCAGTGTCAAGTACTTAAATTCATTCATCATAGGCACACTGACTGAGCTCCTTAGAGCTCTGTTTCTTAAACTTCTGGAGATTCTGAACATCAGGAATACTTTTTATCTAGAACGTGATGGAGTCCTTGAAATAAATTCTTAGTGCTGCCCCAAAGTGAACAGCCGCATGTATAGTAAAACCAAAGGGAAGGAATTTTAAAAAGAATAATAATAGAGTAATTAAATAAAAGTGTATTATTTACCTAATTTTAATAAAAGATAGCGTCACTTTAAGTTATGTGCCCAGATGCTTGTAGCATCATGCACAGCATTCACAGAATTATCTATATTGCCATAGAACCTGACTTCAAAAACAGCATGACATATTACTTAAAGTCTTAACTCCTGCAGAAAGGAGCTCAGAAAAAAATCAAGGTAGTCTTGAGGATGTGTTACAGAAAATGTAATTTGTCCTATTTAGTTGGCTCAGTGCTAAATCAATTATTATTTTTAAATGTCTTGGCTTGTAACTGTATTTATTCCAATTGAAGAGGAAAAACTGGCATTTTTAATTTCTCACAGTTATTTTTCTCAAATAATTAAGTTTTTAATGAGCACAAAATGATTCATTTCACCTCTAATAGGGAAACAGAAAAAAACAAAAAGGTAAAGGAAGGAAAAAACAAAGGAGTTAAGTTCTGCTTTCTAAAATGATTCCCTCCACAGCTTTGTTTTGGATAACTGAGAGAATTATCTCTAAGTCTCAGGTTCACCAAAGTAGCTTCAATGGAGTGAAACTGCTCTATTATCTAGAAACCTGGTTTTAATGTCTATAAGTCTCACTACTCTGAATTTCATCTTCCTCAAGAAATGATCATTTAAATATTTCAATATTAAATAAAATAAAAAGTCGATAAACCTATTTCCCTAGAAGGAGAAAATGGTTTTAATGTTTTGGACAATCTATTATTTTAAGAATTTACTTAGGAAAGAAACAATCTAAAGGTTTGCCATAGTTTTATCTTTTTACTCACTTGGGGATTAAATCTGTTCGATGAAAGTTGTTAAAAAGCACAGTTAGTGAATAGAATGGCAGAGCCAGTTCTTTCTGATGAACAGTCTTGAGGGTAGATGACTCCCTGAAACGATCTGCCTTTTCCTAAGTGAATGATTTACCCATGAAGAAAACGGTCTGCACCCCTTCCTACAACACAGCTCCTAAGATGAGAAAGACCAGTGATAATCCACCCGCGTTCATCACTTGCTATGGGGAATTGTGACTGGCAAATTCTATGAATTAGACCTCTCTATACTTTTATGATTAAAGCTTATGATTTAATGGGTTTCAGGAAGATGTGTTGCCTTTCTTAAATTTATTTGTGGCCACAGTAAATGAAGGTGTGTTTGAATATGGCATCTATATATTTGTCTATTTTCTATGATTTTCCTGTCTTAATGGGGGATGCAGGCTCGGCCAGCCCTTTTACGGGATGCGACCTACAATCCCACCTACAGCAGCAAGTTACCCTCTTAATGATGCAAATGTAAATGGAGTTCTGATTGTAAGCATTCTGCCTTTCCTGCTGCTATTGACATTCTCTCTCTGAAAATTGTATTATGCATGGTATGGCCCCCTTTAAGGATGCAGGGTATTTGGTTACATAACCAGACTAACTAAAGAATCAGTAATAGAGCTCCAAAACCATGATTCCCAATTAAACTAATGTTTAGCTGAGCTTTCTTTTAGAATTTTAGGATCAGCTCCCTTTTTAAATAAAAGGAGGAACTGGATGCTTGGTGTACACCTATAATCCCAGAGACTTTGGAGGCTGATTTAGGAGATTTGCAAATTTGAGACCAACCTCTGCAATTTAGGGAAACCCTCAGCAATTTAGAGACATGCTGTCTAAAAATAAAAATAAAAAGGATTGGAGGTCTGGGAATATAGCTCAGTTAGGTATAGTACTTGCCTCGCATGCACAAGACCCTGGTAAAGGGCCCTTGGGTTTAATTCCTAGTGCTGGGAATTAATTAATTAATTTTTGATGACTTAGTATCTTTGACTTTTTTTTCTTTGTCTTCCTTTTTTTGTTTTGTTTTATTTTTAAGACAAAATTTAAGGATTTTTTTTACCTTGTACCTCTTTCATCCATGATAATATTATTTTCCTTAATAACCAAAAAATAATTGCCTCTAAAAGTGATTTGCTAGTGTCCAGTGATATCACTTAATATCGGGGGTCAAGAGGGAAAGAGCTAGGGAATTCCCTCCTGGACAAACCCAAAACATAATTTCCTAAAACCTCCTGAGCAATCTTAAAAATTATTCAAAGGCTTTTAGGAAACTCAAATTCTAGAGTTAATTTGTTTTATTAAGTTACTTTTTGAAATGTTATTATACATGTATTTGCTTCAAATAACCATCTTCTCCAGTTTGCTTTCTGGTGATAAATGTGTTTCTCTACATTCAAGTAGAGTATCTTATTTCTATTAGGGTCAGATTTTTATAAAAGGGGGAAAATGATACATAGAGAGTTTCCTGGATATATGTTATCATTTCTGGAACAAAACATTGGAGTCACATGGGAGCATCTTATTTTCCTTAACTTCTTGCAGAATTTCATGTCAAGGGATTATTGAAAACTGCCATTTATTTAATGCCAATGTACCAATGAATATCAATGTCCTCAAAAGAGGAGGAAAGAGTATATGTTGATAGAGGCAGAAATCAAACTACCATACCCATCTTCCTTTTTAAAAAGCATTGACCTTGTCCATTTAAAAACAGAGATAATGCACTGAGTAATGTTCCAACATAAGATCTAGAAACTCAGTCATCTCTGTTCATCACAGAACCAACCAGAAAGTTCAACTTGCTAATGAACGCTCTTTTTGTAGATGTCTTTTCATTTCCTGCAATGTTAGATTACAACAGTAACCATTCCAAGGCAGGCAGTCTCCTGTTGTATTTCTGCATCATGCACATTAGTAATCAAAACTACGAATTCTCTGCATATTTAAGAATAGGTTTCAAAATTTTATAAATATGCAATCTTTGGGAAGCTCCTCGATTTCTTAAACAACATCTATTGAACTCTACTGATGAGGATAGAACCAAAAAGTACCCTTTGTCCTCTGGGTTAGAAAAACACAACGAGACCTTGGAGTTGCTGGTATGTATCATAAAATAGTTCAAAGTAATGAGGAAGATGGAATCTTTGATTCCTGCTACCTGTTCGCCGTCATTGGGTAGCCTTCTTCTGGACTTATCAGGAAAATCTTCCAGCATTTTCTAGGGAAAAAAGGAAAGTCACTAATTAGGAGCACAGTGCAATTTTGCGTCTATATTTTTATAGCTTCAGCAAATTTCTTCATATAATTCCCATTTAAACAATAAAAAATGCTTCTTGTTTGAACGTAGAAAGGTATAGAATAAAGATGATATTTGGAAAGTTTCAAAGGGAAATTTCCCTGGGAAGTCCTTAGACCAGCTCTCTCAGCTGCATGTTCATCTAGCTTATATCAGCCTCTGCTTCCCCTCTCCCCTCCTGTGCAACATCGGAAGGTCGGAATTGTTGCCCAGAAAGCTTGCTGTCAGTGTGAAATTGTGTCATTTGGGGGACCGCAGGACTTTCTGTGTCAAAGATCTGGACAGCCTTAACTTTTGTAAAAAAAAATTAATTTTTCAATGTTCTCTTTTACTAAGCAGGAAAACAAAATGTTTTCTGAAATCAATAACTTTTGTATACTTTGTGACTATTTTCTAAGTTTCTACAGGTTGAGGTGTGAATGGTCATCTT